TCTAAAGTTTCTTCCTTCCATTCCACTGCGCAATCTTGTCAGAAACTGGTAGCTACTTTGTTGGTTACCTCCTTAATCTCTTAACTATGGGCCTCGAACGTTTACAACGAATCAGCAGTTGGTGTTACTGTTTGTATAGATAGCATTTAAAAATTCCAGAGTATATCAACTCCCTCAATCTTGCCACCTCTTCTTTATCAGTATGAGCGACTGTTTGGTAGAGTGATATTGTGAGATCTTATTTGCACGAATTCCGCGGAGTAAATAATACTCTTCTATCCAAGTTTAACCAGCACATTTGAATTAGGTGCTGTTGAAGTTGCGTCGTGCATTCCTGATCTCCAGTGAGCAGGTCACTACCACAGTGATAGCTTTCAACCATAGCAGTACAATAAATACGAAACAGCTGGTAGACTGGACATGAAAATGTCTATTTCGTATGATTGAATCATCACCTGCACAGCATGAAAGCACTGCCAACCCTACTGTCCTGGTCATTGATTCTTTTCGGAGATCATTCATACACATAAGCTTATACCTTTGAGTAAAACTTCCGACCAACTGTGATTACAATCCATGAAGATGCATGGAATGGTGTATGTCTGTACATTCAGGAATACATATTATTATTATTAAAATCAAACAACAACGTCCGCTGGCAAGCTATCTCTTATACTTTCTCGCCTTTTTTCTCTTTCACAGATTACATTTCTTGCTTAAATTCACCACGAAACCACCGGAGACTAAGTCACGAGCAATAACCGTCATAGAAACGTGGTGGGCGGGCGGAAAGTAGTGTTTCGAGAAGAGCTAAGCACGACCGAGTCCCCAGCATCCAAGATCCTTATGCCAATCTCACGACAAACATAAGATTCTTTTTGGTCTTAAAGCTCTTTTAAGAGAGGTGTCACTGATATGCCTTAGATCATGCAATTGAAGGAAGACAAAAACGTTACCGACCGACAATAGCTGGCGATAACACGCAGCAAAAAAGGCCTCTTTGGCCACAAAGCGACAGAAAACTGTGGATGGCTGCGTTATATGTAAAGCATGCGGGTCAATGGCCCGTGAAGCTTTCGTGTTCAACATTTGCCTCAGATCGGATCGCCGTGGCTATGATTAGGGTATATCACAATAAAGTACCACAAGTTTGGAACGACAGTCATGTGAGTGGACGTAACGCATATGTCCGGAGTGACAGAAAAATGCCTACTTTAACGACAGGTGACCCAAAAGACCTATTACACCCCGTGTTGGCACGAAATATGGGCTCCAGAAACCTGCTCGCAGAAGCAGACCGGGCCCCATGGGCACCCGGGCCGAAAAGTAAGGAAAAATGTCACTCATGTTCATAGCAAACAAATAGTTTGTGCAGGGTGTGAGACTCCCACAATGTCTATGTCAGCCGTGTTAAAGCAACACACAGAAATCGGAGAAACACGGGACTCTCAGTGCTAGTCTGCTTCCGGGACCACTTAATCAAAGCAAACACAAGAGAGCAGGAAGGAAGCATGAGCAACTAGGCCCGGTATTTCTTACACTCGCAGGACAAGTAAACAAACCACATCATCTTTTTCACTGTCCCAATATCAATAAACTCGCTCTGAGGCGATGGAAAGAGTGGTCCGAATGAGAGAAATGAGATAACCTCTGCAGAGTATGTTGGGGCGATCCATTACAGCAGGATTGTGCTGGCTGTCCTAAGGCGGTAGATCTCTCCGATGTAAGTTGCCACCCAACAGAGTGCAAAGACCAAAATCCAATTATTTTGGTCTGAACATGGGAAGGAATTAGAAATGCGGAACTGACGAAAACCTGACAAGTTCCTTCCTTCTGCCGTATAGTTCCCGAACTCCCACGAGTGACGCACAGCCGAAGGTTGGATCGACAGTATCAGAAACATGGCTCGCAGTAAATCAGTGGTAGACTTGTAACAAATCTGTGGTACCATGAGAGCAACGACAAGTTACATCAAAATTACGAAAATACCTAAACAGTGCCTTGAGGCAACTATGCAGTCTACACCTTCCCGGGCACAAATAAGTACTGTGCAGCAAAAACTGGTTGAACATATGCAATTGTCGTGTACCTGAGAATCAGTAAGAATATTCCCAATAGAAGGGGATCAAAGGCTGTGACTACCAGAATCAAATCAATAACCAAACGTCTCCAGTAGTCAGTCAAAGGATATGCAGTCAAGCCACAGCACAAGCTTAAGTTGAGCCAAAGATGAAATGTTGGGCGTAGTAAATAAACGTTACGTTGTCAACAGTCTGGCATCATACAGTAGCAAAGTGAAGCCTTAAGGACAACTCTCGACCGAAGGAAATGCAAGTAGTGATGGTAAAGTCAACGAAGACGGTCAAATAACAAAATAACATTACACCAGCTGGGGTCAAATGAATATATCCGTAACGACGGAAAGAATATTCAAGTAAATGTCAATATTATCAAATAAGGTGATGGGAGGATTTCAGATCATTTTACCGCCACATAGAGTTCCATCTGAGTTAGGGGAACAAGCGGAAGCGGTGCCATTGCTCATACACCAACCGGAGATCGCAAGCCCTCCGACGTAAAGGCGATATCAGACAAATTATGAACCGGCAGGGATACAGAGAGAATATCCGTTCTTGGTGATCTGAACGGGACTGCAAATATGGTAACACGGAACACCTAAATCGGCAGGGCACCCACGAAACGCAGGACTTACCTCTAGATGTCGGGTGGTACGAATGACCGCCATCGAGAACCGGAGTGGGATAGTTACTTGCCTGTTGTGCGAGCAGGATGCCAGGACCATATGGACTATGGACCACATGTAGGTTCCTGTAGGTTTGCTTCGACTGTGAGGCAGCACTGAAATAGGCTTTCACAGAATCTCAATGTTTGAAAGACCGAATGGGGGATGCTACATGATGTCGTGAAGATAAATGTATTCACAAGAAGGGAGGGTATAGGGCAACCCCCAGGGGCACCTCAGGCCCCGCTGATCACAAGCGAATCAACCCCACCAAATATGTAGATAAAAAGTACTTCCGTCACACCATCACTAGACTGCCCGAAAGGGTGAGTAGGGGCTGGCAACTGGTATCCAAGTCAAAAGTATTACAGCCTGTCCACAAGTCACCGCACGGCACTGGCCTTAGAAGGTGACATCTTGTCATGTCATTAGATCAGTATGCGAAGTTTTAGGAGCAAGTTACCGGGGATGAAGACAGTTTTCTCCAACTCGCACGGAGACAACACTTATCAGCCAGACGTGACTCTTATCAGGCGTCCAAAACGAAAAATGTGTGTTTCTTATCTGAACTTTACCAAAAAGACTTAAAGCTCAGAGAGTGTGGAATGGGTTATCGAAAATAGCTGGCGTCCAAAAGCAAGAGAGGCAACATCATCGAGGTCTAGGCTCCTTTCTGGTGCTACTTCACCAAGAACCACAAGAAATCCCGAGCAACACCATACTGGCTAAGTCTACGATAGTGAATATCAACCACTCATAACCTGGATTGCAGCATTCAAAGAGGTCAGACAGTTCCGCAAAAAATAAACACAACTCAGCTAGCCAGAATCAGCTCAGGGATAAAAATATCCCAAACAGGGATTCTCCGCCCAGTACCGCCTTCACCATTCATAGACGACCTCACCATGCGAATCCCCTCGTCTGTTCAATATTTTGCATCTGCATTTCACGATGACTATAAAACAAAGAGAATTTGTTTTGTTCAGCTCAAGCTATAGGGGAAAAAGAGATGATACAATAAAAACCTACAAGACTATCCATCAATAAAGCCATATGAGGTGACTAACACTGTCGATTCAGGACGGAAAGTCTCGTGCGAGTAGCACCCTGGCGCATTGCCAGAAGGCCAAGAGGAGAGTTAAATCAAAATTCTGTGACTGTGTGTTGAGGAATACTCTGCCTTAAAAAGTAGCCAGAGTGGCCTCATTTCATTTTTCTACATGAAGGCCGAAAAACGGTGTGAGCGCCTTCGGCTGACTATTGAAATGTACCGGTAGCAATCGAAAGTATGCTTATTCGTCCGTCGACTCTCCCATGTCAGTGTCTACACTGTGTACCATATCCTTTTCAAATTATCACTGGTAACGCTGTTATTCATCATTAGTACTTTTCACTCTTCTCCTCAGCTTCGCTACCCACCCAATCCTTTATACTGTCTTTGAAATAACGTTAATTAGTCGCAGGTGGCTGCAGAGATAGGAATTGCAGAGGTTTAGCTGGCTTTATTAGGGGGTCCGTTGCTTCCTGTTACAACTCGGAAGCGAAACCTTCAGATAGACAAAAAAGTTATTTTAGGGATTGTTCTCCAGCGAGCGTGGAAAACTTAGGAGCCAATCACTGAGCACTCTTTGTTGCAGAATAAAGAGTGCCAGGTGAAAAGGAATAAAACAGTGCATGGAGGTAGGGTAATATATTCAATGAGTAGTGACAGCGTAAAAATCGATCTCGACCGACGGGTAGAGGATTATGCACAGACAGTGAAGAGCTGCACAAAGATGGGCCAATCGGAGCAGATGCCTTGATGTGTGCCTTCAGCTCAACAAGCTAGCTATAACAATTAGGATCATCATAAATTTTGAATGCCATCATAAACAAAGCCACTGATTTTGAGGGATTATTTGCCACTAAGTTATAAGCAAGTAAGCTGAAAAGACTTTTTTGGCCACCAAAAGAGTATGACCAAGTCAAGAGGACCATTCCTTATGACTAAAATGCGAGAATTCAGGAAATGTAAGTTTCGTTTACTAACATAACCGACATTTAGTCCATAATTGAGTTATTCTGACTTATAAAAGGTTAACAACTGGATATAAAACGTTGGAATCTTCCACAGATCAGTAGCCATCTAGTGAAATCACAAAGTGGACGTAGAAAGTGCAACTTGTTTTTAATAAACTCATTAGATGGACACCATATGCAGGACTGTCTTGTTTAAGTCAATGTCGTCAGCATAACAGCGTTGTAAACATTTTAAACTATGGGTACCGATACATTGGGATCTGTAAGAGATAATTATTCAAAGCGAAAGAGCAGAGAACAATCCTCAACCGAATTTGCTTTCAAGCCAATAGCTTTCACCAGACAAATTGATGTTGGAGCTCCACCTAGAGCTGGAGCTTTCACACACAGGTCACTGAAATGTGACACTCAGTTCAAGATATTTTATAATCGTGGAGACTTTCCGATAGCTTTGGAACACGATAGCAAAGGAAATAAAATCGCATGGAAGGTGGAAATAGAAAAACTTGATTACCACCATTACTTACCCCTATTTTTTGAAGGTCTTGCAGAAACTGAACATCCGTATGAATTCTTTGCACGGCAAGGTAAATGAATAGAAATATTACGAATACTAGTTCAGGTGTCCATGACCTACTTGAGCATGGTGGAAATAAAATACTTCCTGTCATTCCACAGCTCATAATACCAATCAAATCAGCTCTTAATTTACGTCAGCACAAAGTTTGCTGCACAGTTCTAAAAGCCATCCAACACTTAGTTGTCTCTGGTGAGATGATTGGAGAAGCTCTTGTACCTTACTACAGGCAGCTTCTACCCGTAATGAATACTTTCATAAACAAAAACAAGAATTTGGGTGATGGGATTGATTACAGTCAGCAAAAACGTGAAAACTTGGGTGATTTGGTTCATGAGACCTTGCAAATTCTCGAGATGCACGGTGGAGAAAATGCCTTTATAAACATAAAATACATGGTCCCAACATACGAATCATGCATACTCCAGTAATTTGGTGTATCAGTTACAGTTTTATGTATTACTACCAAATCATTTTGTGTATTAGTAGACTTCAGTTTTGTATTGACAATGCCTTTTTACATTTTTAAATACTGACTTGTGATGTTAAACCTTCTGGTTCCTCAAGTTTGATGGTGAGCAAAACGTAGCTGTAATCTTTATCTTTTCCAAGTTTTACTATCTTTTTATTACTCAACAGTATTTTATGACAACTTTTACGTTTTGTTTAACTCAAAGTATTTTGTAAGTGCTTGTTATATCGGTTCCATTTTACTTTGTAGAATTTACGTGGATATTACTTAAGAATGTCCTGTATCATATATTACCCCGATTATTATGTAATTTTAATTAGTATGTGTTTCGGAGTACGAACTTTAGTCAACTTTCGATTTTTTTGGTATAATCCCTTAAACTATCTTCCGAAGATATAGTCATAAACAGTATCTCAAAAGTAGTTGTCTCATGTTGTGTTGGTTGGATAATTACTTTAAGGTGTTGATCAAAATTTTGAGAACCTTTCAAATAAGTTTTTCATGTGTGCTCGTAAGTGGATTCAGAGGTGTGAAACTTTCAGAATCAGTAGATTTCAGGTGGTAGACTCTTGCTTTACTCATTTTAGTTGTCTCTTGCTGCATTTTGACGTAAATATAACGTGCTGGTCAGTATGTTTAGACGTTATTCTTTTTCTTGCCTCAAGTATGTGCAACAGTGTACGTTAGGAAGCCAGCATTCTACTTAACTATACTACTCAACTTGGTGGTGTTCTGCAGCTGCTGTAGAGTGACTGCTCAGACAGAAGGGGTTGAGCGTGAAGTCAACTGGCTGATAAGATTGTGAATTTATACCAACTATCAGTACTGACCATATTCTAAAATTCTGAGGATGCTGATTATGACGAGAGGAGACTAAGCATGGCTAGATTACGAAAGCGAAACAAACCACTAAGTTACCAGCAGATGATAACAACAATGTTAGGAAGTTAGGCCGTCCAACCTCATTTGTTTTACATTTAAGGAATAATTAGATGTAAAAAATGTAATGCGTTTCCAAGGCATATGCTTCTAACGTGGAATGATAGGACAAATAATTGAAAAAAAGTATACAATCATGCAACCACTCAACGAATCTATTTTATTCATTGAACTAAAAGAATTATATGGAATCACTGGTTACAGTTTCATTTCAAGTGAACCTTGCATAGTGTTTATCATAATATCATGTTTGCTGTTGAAAGCAATTATAGTTGTGGGCACTTGTCGGATTATCACCTCAGAGGTTAGTGAAATTAATGACTTTTACTCTCTTTTTCTACTCTTGCTTGAAGTATCTTCCTTACGCAAGAAACTAAGGACTTCAAAATTAATTTAATATCCCTGAAACTTGTCTAAGACAGCATTTCTGAAAGATTGTAGAATGTTTACTTTGGTTACCCATTTCCTGTACTGTGCTAAATGTGACAGTAGAAATTTTAAGCCTAAAAAAGCATAACTTGCAGGTTTAACTAGGTAATTAATATTTTAGTTACATAATGCTGACAGGAGCAAGTTTCAAAACAACTCATGTTTTTGTTCTTTACAGTTCAAGCTTAGGAAAGTTCTTTGCTTTAGCAAATGATCTCACTTAAAATCACGGTTTTCTGAAATAGGATTGTTTGTCACAACGATCCTACTAAACTACTATAAGAACTCCAGTTTCCAGCCACTGGTAAGAAGTGGAGGATTCTGTATAACTGCAAAGTGGTGTAAGTCTTTAGACAGTATAGTAGTATATCAGGATGCATTGTAACAAGACAAAAGACAAACGAGCACTAAATTAATACCACAAGTTGCAGAGAGCCACAAAAGACAACCAAGTAACGATAAATGATGTGGCGATCGGAATGAAGATAATGTATACATGTATCTGTGCCACCAAGATTTTAGTTTTGATCGTATTTTGTGCATGATTTACAGCATTTTAGAAAATAATCATATAGTTTTGGTTTTAGTTTTATGTTCACTTAAGACTGTACCTTCCATTTTTTAAATGTCTCCGTCAACCAAGGTGAATTAGAACTATAGTACCCTGAATATAAAGTTTTTCACTGGTTGATGAGTTACTCAATACAGTTTGTATACTGTTTGCCGTGAGCGCTTACGTACTGTGACAATTACTCTCCAGAAATCAAAACATGCACATAACAATTTCCACCTTGTGGTTTATTTACGAAATAAATTTGAAAATCACAATTCATCTTTGAAAAGTAGATAAAAAATAACTTTTTAACAGTGAAGTTTTCATTTTCTTGCTTTTAAACAAGTGAATATCTTTTGTTGACCAGTATCTGCATATGTTACCTGCTTGTATCCATCAGTAAATTGTGTGCCAGTAGCAAAATTTGCTCATAATTTCCCTACATACATTAAGCACTCACTGTCTCGGATAAAATAGAGTTTACTGGGTTATGATGAACCATTTAGTTAGTTGCATTTGACATTATGGAAGTTCTCTTAAAGATGACAAGGATTGGTTGATTAGTCCTTACTGAGGTCTTATGACGAATGCAAACATTCATGTTTATTAGTGGACTAAGAATAATAAGGAGGCCGAAGTACGATCCCACCGCTTTAGATAGGCAATTGCTATAACGAATGGCCAAAAGCTTTTATAACTGATGTTTCATCTATAATTAAGTTCACCGTAATAATCTATAGTTCTTAAAAGTCAGTGTAGTAATTCTATAATTTGTCATAGTATTATTTACAGATACCAGTAATATAGTGAACAGTGAGCTTCTCGCCTAAACTAACAGTGTTACCCTGATTCAAATCACACCTATTAGGAAAAATGCCAATTGTGGCCGAGACAGCCCAATGGTAATGTCTCTAACAACAGTCCTGGGTGACGTGAGTTCGGATCTTCAAGAGGACTGACAATAGTCTGGCTGTCGAGTTGGATGAGTGCCAAAAACAAGAAATCTCAGTCGAGCATGGATCCCATCTGACTTTCCTTGTCCAGCTAACAGAATTTACCCGTTTAACTGCCCTGCTTCAAGACTGTATGAAGTTTAGTATGGTCAAAATACTTTAGTATAATCGACCACAAACTCCCGAAATTTTATTTATGAGTGATACTAGGGATATACTAGTCTGTAGGTTAATTAATTTATATTTACGTGAACCCACTAGCCTTTGGCCGTTATGATCAGCCGGATAAAATATGTATATTGGCAGTTCTAAGGGTTTAGAAAGCAGCAAAGAACTCGGAACTTTGTTTAACTCTTGAAGAGTGTTTGCACATATTCATTGGAATGTTTAAATGAAATCATGGGCTGCCTTTTGCACTGCAGTCTCTGGATCCCCTTTGCTCTTCACCTATTTTATAAGAGTTATTTAAAAGCTCTCTTTGCATAATGGTCACTGTACTGTTTTAAAATCAAATTATGAATTAAGTATTCTCACTTAGTGTTCTCTTGGATTAGTAGTTGAGAATTATATGGGAAATACAAATATTGCGTATTTCAGGAACTGTCATGAAAGTGGTTCAACCAAACAGTTTAATCAAGCTCAGTCACACAATACGGAATGCGTATGCGTACAGTGACAACAAAATAGACTCATTAGTGTTCAAGAGGTATCCAAAAAGATTATAATATCAGTCAATTTAGGGCAGACCAGGATTAACCAGTGAGAACATTATACGGACGCAAGCATTATTCATTATTTGGTCGAACATTACTCGTTGCTTTATATACACGTTACACTTCTGTAAAGACTATCACAAATCATGACGTCTCCTTCTCTACCCATGATGTGCTTCCCTTGTAGAAGATTCAATCTTTACAAGCATCTCAAAGAATTTATCTTTATTTTCTCAAGGAAGAACTCTTCGGCAACAGGATTTTTTGAATCTGAATTTGTCGTGTGTTTTTCTTGTGTAATATTATTGACAGTAACCTCTGGAGAGCTTATTTGATCAATACATCTGCTATGCGACATTAGTATTATTTACACCTACCTTTTCTACCATTCGACTGATAATACTTTTGGTGAGTATTCTCCTAACTGATACCTATTTATTGCATTTGAGGAATATTGCATCCGAAGTACATGTACATCTTAGTTGAACTATCAAGTACTAATTTTAGGATGGTATAACTGCACTGCCTCTTATCGTACTATCAAACACACTCGGGTACTGTCATAGTAGATTATCAACAAAAGTGTTAAGTTTTGCAAACATACCATTGGTGAAGTTCGCTTCAGTCTTAAATGTTTTGCTAAACTCTCTGCTTTGCCATTATGGCATAGATAGTTAAGTATGATCCTTATACGTCTGCACTGTACGTGCTGAGACCCAGCTTACCTCGAAGAGTAGTGTTGTGAAGTGGAGTTAAGTTAGTAAAAGGCCTAAGGTGGCCAAACTAAGATGTGGCACCATCCTATAAATCCTCTCACCCTTCGTCTTAGCTTTTTGAGTAAGTACAAACTTCCTGGCTCTGGTAGTCCAGTTAGTAGGAATCAGTGGTTGAAAAGCCTTGCTGATGCAGCTAAAAATTGGTCACAATGGTGGAAATACGCTGAATCTTCGACATCCTACAAAGTCTTAAGGCTCCCGATAACAATGATTTTCCAGATACCTTTTCCTTCAGCAGAATTTTGTCTACCTTAGTATTACTTATTTTCTACTCAGCCGATTCGTAAAGTTCTGT